GCCCAGCCTGGAGGTTCCACCCAAGAGGCGGCTGTTGTCCCCTCTGCACACACCGATGCTGGCGCCGAGGCTCCGCCCCTGCCCAGTGATGGAGCTTCAGAGGTCAGTGCTACTCAGAGCCCTGAACGCCCGTTTCCTGCCAAGGCTTCGGGATGTTGCTGCGCCCCGGATCTTCACCCTTGGGGCCCCCGCTGGATCCCCATGCCCCGATGCACCCGGGCCCCTGCCTGCTCTCCTTGGACAGCATCACCGTGGTCTCCCTGACGTGGTGCCGCTGACTCCTCCCAGCACCAGCGTGCAGCCATTCAGAAGCTTCTGCAGGGACACTGCTGGGGACTGGGCGTCTCCTGGGAATCAGGCAGAGGATGGGGTGGTGCGCCGCACTTGCGCCTCCAGAACCTTGGCTGCGTCTGTGCTTGCCCCGGCCCTGGTGTGCCTGATGCTAGTCCCCTCTGGCTCAAGCCACAGGGAGGCGCTTTCTGGTGGCATGAGCCAAGTTCAGCACCAGTGAACGCTCTTCAGCCCCTGAGCCCTTGACCATCTGCTCTGTGACTGTGCAGCGGCCCCTGACCCTCAGAACCTGTAAAGTTCCCAGCCACGGGAGCATTCGTCCTGGCCTGTCCCCACTGGAGACCTAGTACCTGACTGGCATTTCTGATTTCTGCCTGTTATGCATTCCTCGTGCAAAGAGAAACGAGAACTCCTTGGCGTGTTTTTAAACTTAAATTGTATATGAAGCAGAGTAGATGAAAGGTAGTCAATGATTGTATTTTTGTATTCTTGTTGCTGAAGTTGTTTTAATTGCTCAAATAAACTTCACTGAATGAATTTAGTGTAAGTTTTTTCTCTAAGCTGGTTTAAAAAAGAAAATGTAGGAATAAGCTTATCTTAGCAATGCAGTCAGAACAAAAGGGATAGGATCAAGTACTCATGAATGCCAATGGCAGCTGACAAAATTCAAGCCTAGGTAGGCCTTGTTTCAAAACATACCACCACGAGGAAGCTGCATACCCTCTGAAGATGCAGACTTTTTATTTAGTTACTATTTAGTACCAAAGTCAGCATTTTACTGAAGAAGAAATACTTGATACATGTCTAGCAAAAATATAGAATTTAGAGGCATCCCTAATACAAAATGAAGGTTATATGTGCAGGAAGGCAGGTGGCAAAATGTATTTTATTGTTGCAGTTGGTAGAAACGGAATAGCAGGACAACCCGGGGTGGGGAGAGTCTCGTCTTCCTTTTCTCCCCTGATCTTCACCCTAAGAGGGATTCTTGGCTGCCCAGAATTACAGCCCCAGACTCTTTAGTAAAATGTTCACGGGCATGTCGGCCACGAGGAAGCAGATGATAAGTTTATTTTTTTTAAAGATTTAGTTATTTGCTTGAAAGTCAGTGTTAAACAGAGAGAGAAGGAGAGGCAGACAGAGAGACAGAGAGAGAGAGAGAGAGAGGTCTTCCATCTGCTGGTTTACTCCCCAATTGGCCACAAGGGCCAGAGCTGCGCCGCTCCAAAGCCAGGAGCCAGGAGACTCTTCCAGGTCTCCCACGGCTCCACGGCTACGCAGGGGCCCAAGCACTTGGGCCATCTTCACTGCTTTCCCAGGCCACAGCAGAGTGCAGGATTGGAAGTTTAGCACCCTGGACTCAATTGGCGCCCATATGGGATGCTTGCAGGACTGGCAGTGGCTTTCACCGGCTATGCCACAGCAGTGTCCCTGCATATGCAAATCGGAATGACATACCACTACACTCTCACTCGATTGGACAACACTCAAAGTTGATACTCATCCAGAGCTTGACAAAGTGAAAAGTGTAAATTGTCCCCGGCAGAGAGTGTTTCAACTGATACAAACTTGGGCAGAACAGTTTGAATGGTCAAGTGTGCATTCACATACACGTTTTCCAAGATCTGTTCTTCTCTTTTTGAAAGATGTATTCATGCATTCGAAAGGCAGAGTTAGAGAGAGGCAGTGATCCTCTGGTTCACTCCCTAATGGCCTCAACCTCCAGAGCTGAGACGATCCTAAGCAGCCAGCCAGGAGCCAGGAGCCAGGAGCCAGGAGCTGCTTCTGCGTCTCCCATGTGGGTGCAGTCCTGGGGCCATCCTCTGTGGCATACCCAGGTACAATAACAGGGAGCTGGACCTGATGAGGAGTAGCCCGGACTGGAACCAGCACCCATGTGGGATGCTGGCCCCATAGGTCCTAGACATCGGCTTTACCCGCTGTGCCACAGCGCCGGCCCCTTCCACAGAGCTTGAAGTACACTTGAATGAGGCTGCTGCCAGCACATGACATGCTGGTTGACAATACACTTTTTATGAATAGAATGAGCACACTGAAATTAGAATGAAAATGAATACATACATTAGAAATAGTTGTTTATCGTCAAGTACTGCGTGCATAAGACATATTTCAATGCGTTTTCATTAATTTAATAAGAATGTAGCGGATGTATCAAATTGCACATAATTTGTGATTCTGTGTGATGTTGATGCATGTGTACATTGTGTAATAGCTATTCATGGGACTGGTGCTATGGCCTAGCGGGCAACACCACCACCTGCAATGGCAGCATCCCATATGGGTGCCAGTTAGAGTCTCAGTGCTGGGTAGTTAGCCGCATACCATAATCACTTTTTGTCTTTTTTTTTTTAAAAAAAAAAAAAAACAGGTTTTTGGTATGTAGTCACATATACAACTTCTGTTTATTAAGTGGTGTTCTTTTAATTTATTTGAAAGGCAGAGTGACCGAGAGAGGGGAAGAAACAGAGCAAAGAGGAGATCTTCCAGGGAGGCTAGCAGGGAGCTGCACTGGAAACAGAGCAGCAGGAGTCCCGCACAGCTGTGGGCTGCTGGAGCCCTAAGTGGAGGCAACACGGCTCCACCTTCTTCACTTTAGTCCTTTCCTACTGAACTCATTGAATCCTTTCTACGAATGGTCTTTTCTTAACTATGAAGGATCTTCTAAAAGTTGCTAGAAATGTATTAAGAGGCTGGCGCCGAGGCTCACTTGGCTAATCCTCTGCCTGTGGTGCTGGCAGCCCCGGTTCTAGTCCCAATTGGGGCGCTGGATTCTGTCCCAGTTGCTCATCTTCCAGTCCAGCTCTCTGCTGTGGCCCAGGAAGGCAATGGAGGATGGCCCAGGTCCTTGGGCCCTGCACCCACATGGAGACCAGGAGGAGGCACCTGGCTCCTGCTTGGGATCGGCACAATGTGCCAGCCGCAGCGGATGGCCATGGCAGCCATTTGAGAGGTGAAACAACAGAAGGAAGACCTTTCTCTCTCTCTCTGTCTCTCTCTCTCTCTCTCTCTCTGTCTAACCGTGCCTGCCTTCCTATAAATAAATGAAGAAAGAAAGAAAGAAAAGAAAAAGAAAAAAAGGAAATGTATTAAGAAAATCCATGTTTCTATATCAATTTTAATACTAAAATAATTGTATTTTTAAAAGGAATTTGCAAATCTTTGAAAAGGACTTTTGTGTAAAATGTCCCTTAGGGGCCTGTAGGCTGAGAGAAAGGATTAGTTCACACCCTACAGGGCTGACCTCCCATAGTGCATGTTCTGGCCACTCCCTTCCACTCCAGCTTTCTGCCACTGCACCTGGGAAAGCTGTGGGAATGGGCCCAAGTACTCCAGCCCCTGCCCCTCTTGGGGAGACCAGATGGAATTCCTGGCTCCTGGGCTCAGCCTGGCCCAGCCCTGCCTGTGGCTCCCAGCTGGAGAGGGAGCCAGCAGATGCAAGACAGGTTGTTGTCACTCTTTCCTTCCCAATGAAGCTTTTCACAAAGTACCCGCTCCATTCATTTGATATTCGTGTGCTCCCTGGGATTTCTTTGGTTGTATCTGTCAAGGTGCCTGTCCCCAACACTTGATTTTCCACTCTGATGTCCTTTGAGTTTGGCTACAAATGTCAACGCAAAGGGTGGGGCAAAATGAAGCTGGCCTGTCAGACAGAAACCCAGCTCTGGATTTCCTGAGCTGAGGGCTGATTGGATTCGAACCTGGCCCAGGTATAAAGCCGGAAGGAAGCGCGGAGAGATGGAGCCTCCTTGCGACTGCAGCGGCCACGGGAAACCACCTCTCTCTGAGTCCTAGAGTGTGTTCACCTGGATCAGGATTTCATCCACGGCAGGTAGCTCAATTTCTTATTCTGTTAGACCGTATTTGGTGCCTGTGCTTTTGAGAAAGTCTTATGCCAAAGCGTTGAAGACTCCATTTCAACTTTAAAACGTCTTTGGGAGACGTTATTAATGCCACCTATGTTATCCTAATGCTTTATGTGCGTTGTCTCTCTGTTCTCTTCGTGTTTCTCCATGTACTCTTCTGTAGGAGTATTCACGGATTTTTTCAAACATGTATTTATTTTTTGAGTGGCAGGGTTAGGACAGAGAGATGGAGAGACGGGGAAGAGGTCTTCCCTCCTTGGGTTCTGCTATGCCATTAACAAGCCTGGAAAAGAGACCTTCTCATTTCTTCCACATTTCGATCTCTGTTAGGGCTTCCCATAGAAAGGAAACCACGTAGCAAATCAGCAGAGAGGGGCAGGCCACTCTAGCTTAGGTGGTTAATCCTCCGCCTAGGGGCCAGCATCCCCAATGGGCTCTGATTGGAGTTCCAACGGCTCTGCTCTCAACCCTGCTCCCTGAGATGGCCTGGGAAAGCAGTGGAAGGAGATCCAAGTGCTCTGACCACTGTACCCACGGGGGATGCAGAAGCAGCTCCAGGTTTGGATGGGCCCAGCTCTGGCTGTTGAGGCCATTTGGGGAGTGAACAGGCAGATGGAAGACCTCCCTCTCTCTCTCTCCTCTCTCTCTCTCTCTCTCTCTCTCTCTGTGTGTGTGTGTGTGTGTGTGTGTGATTCTGCCTGTGAAATGAATGAATCCATCTTTACTAAAGAGAGACTACGTAGAGAAGATCCTCTGGGGGAAATTCTAGGGGGACGATCTAGAACACACCTGGGGACTCAGAGTCGCCCACTTTCCTGTCTTGCAGCCATGACGCCTGAGAGCTCCGGCCCCCAGAACCCCAGCTGCCACATCATGACATTCTACCCAACCATGGAGGAGTTTATGGACTTCAACCAATTTATCGCTCAGATGGAATCTCAGGGTGCACACCGAGGAGGCCTGGCCAAGGTCATCCCACCCAAGGAGTGGAGGGCCAGACAGAGCTACGACGACATGGATGACATCTTGATAGCCCGCCCCCTCCAGCAGAAGGCCTATGGCGGGGCAGGTGTCTTCACTCAGTTCCACAGAAAGAGGAGAGCCATGACCCTGAGACAGTATCGCCAGCTGGCCACCAGCACAAAATACCAGACCCCAGCGCACCTGACTTTCGAAGAGTTGGAGCAAAAGTACTGGAAGACCCGTGTCTACGATGCCCCGATCTACGGCGCTGGCATCAGCGGCTCTCTGTTTGATGAAAACACGGCACACTGGAACCTCAGGCGCCTGGGCTCGCCTCTGGACCTGCTGGCGCAGGAGTGCGGCGTCGTCATCGAGGGCGTCAACACGCCCTACCTGTACTTTGGCATGTGGAAGACCACGTTCGCCTGGCACACGGAGGACATGGACCTGTACAGCATCAACTACCTGCACTTCGGGGAGCCCAAGACGTGGTACGCGGTGCCCCCGGAGCACGGGCGGCGCCTGGAGCGCCTGGCCGGGCAGCTGTTCCCGGGCAGTTCCCGCAGCTGCCAGGCCTTCCTGCGGCACAAGGTGGCCCTCATCTCGCCCAGCGTCCTGCGGCAGAACGGCATCCCCTTCCGCCGCGTCACTCAGCAGGCTGGCGAGTTCATGGTGACCTTTCCTTACGGCTACCACGCGGGCTTCAACCACGGCTTCAACTGCGCCGAAGCCATCAATTTCGCCACCCCGCGCTGGATCGACTATGGCAAAGTGGCCTCCCAGTGCAGCTGCGGGGAGGCCAGGGTCACCTTTGACATGGACCCCTTCGTTCGTATCCTGCAACCCGAGCGCTACGAACTGTGGAAACGCGGGCAAGACCGTGGCGCTGTGGCCCTCCCGGAGCCCATGGGCCAAACAAGCCAGGATCCACACACTAGCCGGGAGCCAGGCACCAGCCAGCCGCTTCTCACCAGCCAGGGGCCAAGCCTCAGCCAGGAGCCACGCAGCAGTGAGGAACCTCACAGCAGCCAGGAGCTTCTCACCAGCCAGGGGCCAAGCCTCAGCCAGGAGCCAGGCACCAGTGAGGAGCCATGCAGCAGCCAGAAATCACGCCGCTGCCTGAAGCCGCGCCCCAGCCACGCGTTGTGCACCAGCCAGGAGCTGACGGCCTGTAGGCAGGATCGCGGGCTCTGGAGGGCTGCCCTGGGCCTCAGGCAGCTTTCCTCGCCCCAGGCTAGGTCCACTGGGCCTGTGCCGGCCTCTGGTAGCACCCGTCGAGCTGCTCCTGTGGGCCCCGGATCTCAGTTGGCTCTGGGCCACAGCAGTGATGTCACACTGCACACTGACGTTCGCAGGTCCAGGCAGCCCGACCTGGCCTGGTTACCGACTCCAGCTCTGTCTGCCGAGGCTGTGTGCCTGTCAGCTGCTAGACCTGGTCATGGTAGTGGTCGGCGTCCTCGGCCACTGCAAGCTGAGGAGCCCAGCCTGGAGGTTCCACCCAAGAGGCGGCTGTTGTCCCCCTCTGCACACACCGATGCTGGCGCCGAGGCTCCGCCCCTGCCCAGTGATGGAGCTTCAGAGGTCAGTGCTACTCAGAGCCCTGAACGCCCGTTTCCTGCCAAGGCTTCGGGATGTTGCTGCGCCCCGGATCTTCAGCCCTTGGGGCCCCCGCTGGATCCCCATGCCCCGATGCACCCGGGCCCCTGCCTGCTCTCCTTGGACAGCATCACCGTGGGTCTCCCTGACGTGGTGCCGCTGACTCCTCCCAGCACCAGCGTGCAGCCATTCAGAAGCTTCTGCAGGGACACTGCTGGGGACTGGGCGTCTCCTGGGAATCAGGCAGAGGATGGGGTGGTGCGCCGCACTTGCGCCTCCAGAACCTTGGCTGCGTCTGTGCTTGCCCCCGGCCCTGGTGTGCCTGATGCTAGTCCCCTCTGGCTCAAGCCACAGGGAGGCGCTTTCTGGTGGCATGAGCCAAGTTCAGCACCAGTGAACGCTCTTCAGCCCCTGAGCCCTTGACCATCTGCTCTGTGACTGTGCAGTGGCCCCTGACCCTCAGAACCTGTAAAGTTCCCAGCCACGGGAGCATTCATCCTGGCCTGTCCCCACTGGAGACCTAGTACCTGACTGGCATTTCTGATTTCTGCCTGTTATGTATTCCTCGTGCAAAGAGAAACGAGAACTCCTTGGCGTGTTTTTAAACTTAAATTGTATATGAAGCAGAGTAGATGAAAGGTAGTCAATGATTGTATTTTTGTATTCTTGTTGCTGAAGTTGTTTTAATTGCTCAAATAAACTTCACTGAATGAATTTAGTGTAAGTTTTTTCTCTAAGCTGGTTTAAAAGAGAAAATGTAGGAATAAGCTTATCTTAGCAATGCAGTCAGAACAAAAGGGATAGGATCAAGTACTCATGAATGCCAATGGCAGCTGACAAAATTCAAGCCTAGGTAGGCCTTGTTTCAAAACATACCACCACGAGGAAGCTGCATACCCTCTGAAGATGCAGACTTTTTATTTAGTTACTATTTAGTACCAAAGTCAGCATTTTACTGAAGAAGAAATACTTGATACATGTCTAGCAAAATATATAGAATTTAGAGGCATCCCTAATACAAAATGAAGGTTATATGTGCAGGAAGGCAGGTGGCAAAATGTATTTTATTGTTGCAGTTGGTAGAAACGGAATAGTAGGACAACCCGGGGTGGGGAGAGTCTCGTCTTCCTTTTCTCCCCTGATCTTCACCCTAAGAGGGATTCTTGGCTGCCCAGAATTACAGCCCCAGACTCTTTAGTAAAATGCTCACGGGCATGTCGGCCACGAGGAAGCAGATGATAAGTTTATTTTTTTTAAAGATTTAGTTATTTGCTTGAAAGTCAGTGTTAAACAGAGAGAGAAGGAGAGGCAGACAGAGAGAGAGAGAGAGAGAGAGAGAGAGAGAGAGAGAGGTCTTCCATCTGCTGGTTTACTCCCCAATTGGCCACAAGGGCCAGAGCTGCGCCGCTCCAAAGCCAGGAGCTAGGAGACTCTTCCAGGTCTCCCACGGCTCCACGGCTACGCAGGGGCCCAAGCACTTGGGCCATCTTCACTGCTTTCCCAGGCCACAGCAGAGTGCAGGATTGGAAGTTTAGCACCCTGGACTCAATTGGCGCCCATATGGGATGCTTGCAGGACTGGCAGTGGCTTTCACCGGCTATGCCACAGCAGTGTCCCTGCATATGCAAATCGGAATGACATACCACTACACTCTCACTCGATTGGACAACACTCAAAAGTTGATACTCATCCAGAGCTTGACAAAGTGAAAAGCGTAAATTGTCCTCCTAGGCAGAGAGTGTTTCAACTGATACAAACTTGGGCAGAACAGTTTGAATGGTCAAGTGTGCATTCACAGACACGTTTTCCAAGATCTGTTCTTCTCTTTTTGAAAGATGTATTCATGCATTCGAAAGGCAGAGTTAGAGAGAGGCAGTGATCCTCTGGTTCACTCCCTAATGGCCTCAACCTCCAGAGCTGAGACGATCCTAAGCCAGGAGCCAGGAGCCAGGAGCCAGGAGCCAGGAGCCAGGAGCTGCTTCTGCGTCTCCCATGTGGGTGCAGTCCTGGGGCCATCCTCTGTGGCATACCCAGGTACAATAACAGGGAGCTGGACCTGATGAGGAGTAGCCCGGACTGGAACCAGCACCCATGTGGGATGCTGGCCCCATAGGTCCTAGACATCGGCTTTACCCGCTGTGCCACAGCGCCGGCCCCTTCCACAGAGCTTTGAAGTACACTTGAATGAGGCTGCTGCCAGCACATGACATGCTGCTTGACAATACACATTTTTATGAATAGAATGAGCACACTGAAATTAGAATGAAAAATGAATACATACATTAGAAATAGTTGTTTATCGTCAAGTCCTGCGTGCATAAGACACTATTTCAATGCGTTTTCATTAATTTAATAAGAATGTAGCGGATGTATCACATTGCACATATTAATGTGATTCTGTGTGATGTCTTGATGCATGTGTACATTGTGTAATAGCTATTCATGGGACTGGTGCTATGGCCTAGCGGGCAACACCACCACCTGCAATGGCAGCATCCCATATGGGTGCCAGTTAGAGTCTCAGTGCTGGGTAGTTAGCCGCATACCATAATCACTTTTTTTCTTTTTTTTTTTTTTTTAAAAAAAAACAGGTTTTTGGTATGTAGTCACATATACAACTTCTGTTTATTAAGTGGTGTTCTTTTAATTTATTTGAAAGGCAGAGTGACCGAGAGAGGGGAAGAAACAGAGCAAAGAGGAGATCTTCCAGGGAGGCTAGCAGGGAGCTGCACTGGAAACAGAGCAGCCAGGAGTCCCGCACAGCTGTGGGCTGCTGGAGCCCTAAGTGGAGGCAACACAGCCTCGGCTCCACCTTCTTCACTTTAGTCCTTTCCTACTGAACTCACTTGAATCCTTTCTACCGAATGCGTCTTTTTCTTAACTATGAAGGATCTTCTAAAAGTTGCTAGAAATGTATTAAGAGGCTGGCGCCGAGGCTCACTTGGCTAATCCTCTGCCTGTGGTGCTGGCAGCCCCGGTTCTAGTCCCAATTGGGGCGCTGGATTCTGTCCCAGTTGCTCATCTTCCAGTCCAGCTCTCTGCTGTGGCCCAGGAAGGCAATGGAGGATGGCCCAGGTCCTTGGGCCCTGCACCCACATGGGAGACCAGGAGGAGGCACCTGGCTCCTGGCTTGGGATCGGCACAATGTGCCAGCCGCAGCGGGATGGCCATGGCAGCCATTTGAGAGGTGAAACAACAGAAGGAAGACCTTTCTCTCTCTCTCTGTCTCTCTCTCTCTCTCTCTCTGTCTAACCGTGCCTGCCTTCCTATAAATAAATGAAGAAAGAAAGAAAGAAAGAAAGAAAAGAAAAAAAGGAAATGTATTAAGAAAATCCATGTTTCTATATCAATTTTAATACCTAAAATAATTGTATTTTTAAAAGGAATTTTGCAAATCTTTGAAAAGGACTTTTGTGTAAAATGTCCCCTTAGGGGCCTGTAGGCTGAGAGAAAGGATTAGTTCACACCCTACAGGGCTGACCTCCCATAGTGCATGTTCTGGCCACTCCCCTTCCACTCCAGCTTTCTGCCACTGCACCTGGGAAAGCTGTGGGAATGGCCCAAGTACTCCAGCCCCTGCCCCTCTTGGGGGAGACCAGGATGGAATTCCTGGCTCCTGGGCTCAGCCTGGCCCAGCCCTGCCTGTGGCTCCCAGCTGGGGAGGGAGCCAGCAGATGCAAGACAGGTTGTTGTCACTCTTCCTTCCCAATGAAGCTTTTCACAAAGTACCCGCTCCATTCATTTGATATTCGTGTTGCTCCCTGGGATTTCTTTGGTTGTATCTGTCAAGGTTGCCTGTCCCCAACACTTGATTTTCCACTCTGATGTTCCTTTGAGTTTGGCTACAAATGTCAACGCAAAGGGTGGGGCAAAATGAAGCTGGCCTGTCAGACAGAAACCCAGCTCTGGGATTTCCTGAGCTGAGGGCTGATTGGATTCGAACCTGGCCCAGGTATAAAGCCGGAAGGAAGCGCGGAGAGATGGAGCCTCCTTGCGACTGCAGCGGCCACGGGAAACCACCTCTCTCTGAGTCCTAGAGTGTGTTCACCTGGATCAGGATTTCATCCACGGCAGGTAGCTCAATTTCTTATTCTGTTAGACCGTATTTGGTGCCTGTGCTTTTGAGAAAGTCCTTATGCCAAAAGCGTTGAAGACTCCATTTCAACTTTAAAAACGTCTTTGGGAGACGTTTATTAATGCCACCTATGTTATCCTAATATGCTTTATGTGCGTTGTCTCTCTGTTCTCTTCGTGTTTCTCCATGTACTCTTCTGTAGGAGTATTCACGGATTTTTTCAAACATGTATTTATTTTTTGAGTGGCAGGGTTAGGACAGAGAGATGGAGAGACGGGGAAAGAGGTCTTCCCTCCTTGGGTTCTGCTATGCCATTAACAAGCCTGGAAAAGAGACCTTCTCATTTCTCCACATTTCGATCTCTGTTAGGGCTTCCCATAGAAAGGAAACCACGTAGCAAATCAGCAGAGAGGGGCAGGCCACTCTAGCTTAGGTGGTTAATCCTCCGCCTAGGGGCCAGCATCCCCAATGGGCTCTGATTGGAGTTCCAACGGCTCTGCTCTCAACCCTGCTCCCTGAGATGGCCTGGGAAAGCAGTGGAAGGAGATCCAAGTGCTCTGACCCACTGTACCCACGGGGGATGCAGAAGCAGCTCCAGGTTTGGATGGGCCCAGCTCTGGCTGTTGAGGCCATTTGGGGAGTGAACAGGCAGATGGAAGACCTCCCTCTCTCACTCTGTGTGTGTGTGTGTGTGTGTGTGTGTGTGTGTGTGATTCTGCCTGTGAAATGAATGAATCCATCTTTACTAAAGAGAGACTACGTAGAGAAGATCCTCTGGGGGAAATTCTAGGGGGACGATCTAGAACACACCTGGGGACTCAGAGTCGCCCACTTTCCTGTCTTGCAGCCATGACGCCTGAGAGCTCCGGCCCCCAGAACCCCAGCTGCCACATCATGACATTCTACCCAACCATGGAGGAGTTTATGGACTTCAACCAATTTATCGCTCAGATGGAATCTCAGGGTGCACACCGAGGAGGCCTGGCCAAGGTCATCCCACCCAAGGAGTGGAGGGCCAGACAGAGCTACGACGACATGGATGACATCTTGATAGCCCGCCCCCTCCAGCAGAAGGCCTATGGCGGGGCAGGTGTCTTCACTCAGTTCCACAGAAAGAGGAGAGCCATGACCCTGAGACAGTATCGCCAGCTGGCCACCAGCACAAAATACCAGACCCCAGCGCACCTGACTTTCGAAGAGTTGGAGCAAAAGTACTGGAAGACCCGTGTCTACGATGCCCCGATCTACGGCGCTGACATCAGCGGCTCTCTGTTTGATGAAAACACGGCACACTGGAACCTCAGGCGCCTGGGCTCGCCTCTGGACCTGCTGGCGCAGGAGTGCGGCGTCGTCATCGAGGGCGTCAACACGCCCTACCTGTACTTTGGCATGTGGAA